GACCAGGGAGGATGATTCAACCACTCAACCACTAGATGTCGCTGAAAACAACAAATCCTACACACTGTGCCTTTAATGCGTCGGTTTGGTCTTAAATGTCATTCCTAATGGTCTTAAAAGGTCTTAAATTTAACTTACTGAGACCTGCATGAACCCTGTAAAAAGAAACAAACTCAAGCAGGGATCCCATCATGCTAGTACTGATTCGATGCAACACGTTGGTATGCTAGCGTTAGCGTCATATGTTGGTGTAAATTCTCCCTCATCCAGGTCGTGACCTATATAGGAAGTTGTGTCATTCTGGTCACTTTTTCCTGCAGYGTGAACGTAGCTTTCACCTAAATCTCCRACGATGATTGTTAGGTCTTGAACTTGCCTTGTTTTCCTTCTAGACGAGTACGTGGCCAGCCTGCATCTCCCCACGTTTGACGCACATCTCACCGAACTGACCGACGAGCAGGCCAAGTACCTGGGTTTGAACAAGAACGGCCCGTTTAAGCCAAACTACTACAGGTATTAAACACAAACCTGCTCCGAGTCCGCGGGCTCATCGCGCAGCAGTTTTTAATAATTGTATTTTTTTCCCTCTTAAGGTATTAAAGTGGTGTAAGAGGGTGGGGCTAGCTGAGGAAATACCATAACTCCAGAAATCTCACAACACATGGGGAGGAGGACGGAACGAAGGACGGACAGAACACACCTGCTTTACATCTGAACGGAGGGGGAGGAGRGGCTCATTTTATTTATTCATTCAGTGTTATTTAAACAAAATAAACCTTAAACCCGCTCCTGCCCTTTACAGCTAACTATGTCCCGTTTTTCGTAAATGTTTCGTTCATTTTGCTTCCAGCTATCGTTTTGCCATCGTCCCTCTCTTCAGTCGCTCATCGGTGCGTCGACATGTCTATAAATCCTCCATCCCTCCTTCCCTTCGCCACATTTTTTGTATTTTTTATCTGCTAAAGAWAGAAATACATGCGCTATATACAAAAACGTTGATTTAGAAAAAAGGAGCGAATGAAGGTTTAGTGATAATTTTCTGTTTTTATCAATGTCTTTTTTTTTTTTTTTTTTTTATTTTTTATTTTTTCTTGTGTAAAATAAATTTCAGCTGGGACTGGGTAGATTTAGTAAAGGGGGGGTCTCAGGGTCTATTCATATCTTGTATTTTATTTCAGTGAGATTCACTGTTTCTTAACGTTTTTTTAAATAAATTAATTCACGTTTTTTTGTTCCTTTTCGTACAAACCCTCATCTGATCAGCTGCTCCAACAAGCCAGTGTTGAAACTAATGAAAAGTATTTTTATTTAGTTTTACCCTTTCATTTCCCAAGAACAATGTACAACGAAGCATGGCAGATTGTCGAATCATTACAAAGTTATACTGTATATTTAGATATTTATATAGAATTTAAGATCGTTTTCTATCTGCTGCTTTGTTTTGCGCCGTCTAATWTTATTACTTTTGACCGAATCTCCACCGATAAGCAATCAAGTGTCCTGTTGATTTGTGTAATAAATGTACTCAAACACTCGTTTTTTAAATACTGTGACGGAGTATTTACATGAAGTTAAAAAAAAAAAAGTTTCCCGGCCAGTTTCTTACTTCAGGTTCTTCAATAAAAAGTATGGTGCTGTTTTGCTGTACTTGCCATGAACACACAAACAAGTCGATGGTACTGACAAGTGTACTTACAGCTGCTGTCAGAAGTTTACATACATGCATGGTGTATTTTTTTTTTTTATTATTATTATTTTGTTTTATTTTTTTTTTGTTTTTTCGGAGTGGAATGACTAAAATACTTGATGTTGAGTTGGTTTCCACCTTTTAAGCACAGTCCACAAAATTTAAACCCAATCAAGGTCGGGGCTTTGGGATGCACCAGGCCACCANTCCACAAACTGGTCCTGGATTAAGCTCCAAAGTTTTTATCAGTCAGATTCCACCGTGAAAAATGTCTGTTTTATCCCCTTTTATGAGTTTTTGGCCATTGACTATCTTTAAATCGCTGCTTCCTGGTACAACGGTCGGCTCTGGAAGCGATTGCTTTTTTCTTTCTTTTTTTGAAGTGAGTGGTTGAAGCAAATGGAGCACAAGAGCCCCCTGGTGGCTGAAGAAAAAAATCCATGTATAAGCCGCACCGGTCTATAAGCCGCATGGTTCAAAGTTCAGGAAAAAAGTCGCGGTTTATAGTCCGAAAAATATTGTAAATAAATAAATGTAACAGGAGCCAAAAAAACCCAACCTCCAGTCACATTACTATTCAAAATCTGACAGAATCTGACTGAACTTCAGAGTTCAGCTTCAAATTGGTTTCTTGGCTCTTTCTGTTTGATCAACCCGGGGTCGCATTTTCTCTTGCGTCCTCTCTCCACAAACCTTGTATTTTTTTCAATTTTGGTTGCTGCGGTTGCAGGAAGATGAAGCTTCATGGAGATGATCTTGGAAACTTTTACCTTTTTGTTATGGATACCTAGAATCAACGGTGGGCAGCACTAGTCTAAAAATTAGTTCCACAAGCCCTAAAGCACTAACTCAAATATTTAGGTCCCCTAATTCTAAAGCACTAAAATAACCCAGTCAACACATGTAACATTGTTCAACAGACATGAGTCACATGTTAACATGTTAATACTTATCATTGACACTCCACAGCTGTATTTGAGTTCATTTATTGTCAATATGTCACCTGGTGGATAAGTGACACACATATGAACACAATGTGCGACAGTTTTCAAAAATAACCCATCAAATAATTTATTTTCACCACTTTTTGTTTACCAAAGCAACAAATGTGAATAACTGCAGGCGTTTCATCTTTCAGGCAAGCCTGAGGACTCCTGAGCTAACCTGGGAGAGGGTGCGCTCACAGGTGGACCACGTCATCTGGCCCGACGGCAAGAGGATAGTCCTGCTGGCGGAGGTACGTACACAAACACATGCAGATCATGTCTCCTCAACTGCACAACAAGTTCTGAGCCACTAGAGAGAGCACTCGCCTAAATATAGCTGTGGATAAAAGGCAAAAAATGAAATCTTTCAAAATAAAACTGTTTGAGCCGCGGTGAGGTTTTACCCGTCCTCAGCTCCCTCCAGGTCCATGAGTTCCATCAGTTCTGCGTCAAAATAAATCTACTCTATACATGYCAAGTTATGTGCCATCTTTCTTAAATGTACTTATACATGTTCATGTACTTGTACACATGAGAAATGGTTACAAATATGGGTCTGATTTAAGAGCACAGCACGCTTAACAGTGCAACATAAACACAAAATGGCTGCAACTCTTCAGATTTTCAGTCGTAGTTAAGAATTATTCCCCACATATTCTAAGATTTTGCAGTCTTGTGACCAAATCGCACATAATGCATTTTTATTCTCACAATTGTAAATCACGAAAGCTGCACCCTTTTTTTTTTGTGTTACCACAACTAAAACTAACCAATTGTGTGAAAGCTTCACAGCATTCACACTGAGATCGTTTTTACTTCCGTACGTTTTTCGGCATCTAACTCAGTCTTACTCAGTGYTATTTCAACAATTCTTATATCAAAACATTCAGCACGTTTATGACGATCCTGCCTATGACTTTTGGTATTTCAGCTGTTTTTTTTTGTTTGTTTGTTTTTTGTTTTTTTTTTTACTTTTTCAGCTATTTCACATTTTGCCATTGAAAATGAACGGAGCAGTTTTCAACATCCTTAAAATCCTTTAAAATGTTTCTAAATCTTTACAGAGCCTTAAAGGCACAGTGTGTAGGATTTTGTTAATTCTTTTAGCCGAAATTGAGATAATCACTAATGACAATAATAAAAACATGTCTAATCATTGCAGACAAAGACCTTGTTTTATTATTTTTTACCTTATAAAAAGCTGTTTATATCTCCGTGGTTGCGGGTCGCCAGTAC